GAAATGGATTGGAAGTTTCCACCACCATTAATATTAGTCTTATGTATATTAAGACTGCACAGTATAGAGGTTTAAATAAGATTGGAGGGTATTAATACTTGGATTACTCTTGGGGGTTTCCACCATTATTCACAATTATTTTTTCACATTAATTATAGGGAAAGATTGCACTGTATTTTTTTACATGTTCAGTTTTTTTGGTCTCTAAGAGAAGCACTGATATAAGGGGACTGTGTACTAATAGCAGGGCTGTAAGGGGGTCACTTATATAAGGGGACTCTGATCTAAGGGGGGCACTGATATAAGGAGGACTCTGATCAAACTGGGGGGGGGGGGGGCAGTGATAAAGGAGACTCTGAACTAATGGGAGTCTCCTGTATTATGAAGTGGGGGGGGGGGGGACACTGATAAGTTGCAGGAATTTACTCTTACTTCCTATTTTGGCTTGGGACAGGAAGTGAAGGCAAATCTCCCCAATGGCATTCAGATGGCAAAAAATAAACTGGGGAGTTATAACTTTCCATTACTGCAAAATGAAAAATAAATGTTTTCTGTATGAGTTGCCACGCATTCGGAAACATGCAGATATAACTGCAGCCTAATTGTTATTGACACCCCGTTAGCAGATGTGTGTTTTGCTGCATGACAAAATGTGCTATAAAAAGCACACTGAATACCAAGTGGCACTCCAAGACTGAAAACATTCTAGTACTATTTTGGGGCACATGTCGCACGTGATGCAGCCCGTTTAGGTGAATGGCACAAAAAAACGTGAGCAGGAACGTGCATTTCCACTACACACAGGTGTAAATTGAATGTGCTGGGGAGGAAGTTTTTAGGTAGCAAGGAAGACCAGGGAGGAGAAATGAGGGTTAAAATTAAAAAAACAAAAAAAAACACTGCTACATCAAAGTCGCATAGGATAGATAGCTGTGGTTCACACTAGCACGGCATGAATCAATCATGCCCAGTATCAGCACAGCTACCTTTCAGAGCAGGCTGTATATATTATAGAAAGGGGTTTCCTCTTAAGTAAAGCTGTAATCTGTAGCACGGACTCTAATCTGTAGGTTTGAATGGGAGGGATTAAATACTATTTAGGATGTATTCAATCCCACCCACCAACAGAGCTGTGAGGGAAATGACATAATTTACAAAGTCTGAAAGACTACAAAGGGGAGTGTACAGACTCTGGGCACTGTAGGATGTGGCTGTGGAAGGAACAGTCGATTAACAGGACACAAAGCAACAACTATACCCAGAACATCAGGTAATCTGCAGACAACAGAGCAACATGGTACAGAGGTATGATCTATGCTGGGAATGATCATTTCATTCAGTTCTAGTGAAAAGAAAGTTGGAATTCAGCTTTAAATTTATGTCTAATGCCATCTGTTTTCACAGTCGATATTCGTAGACACCCTTTTTCTTGTGTGCATCTAGCTTTATTGAACTGCAGTGACTGAATGAAGATAGCCTTGGATGAGGACCATACATTTATAGATAGTCATCGATTTGAGGTGACAGATAATTTCTCCCCCAAACTAATGGTATAATTTTGGACTTTCCCAGTTCAATGTTGGGACCTATTGAGATGAATAGGGAATGCATTGTGAATAGCAGTGGATTAAGTAAACAATGGACAGCAGGGAAAAGTTGGTTCTTGAGGTGCAAAGAGTGCATACACAGTTGTTCACTACAAGTTCTGGCCAAATTACTACATTTCAATTACAAAATCTACTAATAGGTAAACAACTCCTGCAGGAAACCCCACATTATAAACAACATATTTGTAAATGTTGCTTCACATTATATTTTATTTCACTAACTTTAAAACATAGGAACAAAGCAAAGATTTGTGGCATGTGCAAAAGTTTAGGCACTCTTCCAAAAGTAATACAAAGTACTGTAATAATGACATCTGTTAACTGCGGAAACTAAAATCTTTGACGCTCCAAACTTTCTGCTGTTACTATGGGCTAATCTAAGCAACTGAAAGAGAATCTGAAAATTAAGCCAAACGTGGGCCATAAAAAGATTGCAAATTGATTCCGGCGTACAATTTTCACTGTCCATAATGGCTTCACGAAATGGCAGTTAGGTGAAATGGTGGAAATTAAAGTGATAAAGCAGCTTTGTTTTTTTCTTTACAAAATAACGAACATCATAGTCACCTGCTCTGTGCAATGGTTTTGCACACAGCAGCCCTTATCCTCTCCTTCTCGGGTCCCCTGCCAGCAGTCCTGACTCTTCCCCCTTGACCAGTGCCCCCAATAGCAAGCTGCTTGCTATTGGGGCACAGGTGCATATTCGCTTCCTGCTCTGCCCTGCTCTATGTGCCCATAGGACACAGCTGTGGCTCAGCCCCGTTCTCTCATTGGCTCACTGGCTGTGATTGACAGCAGTGGGAGCCAAAGGCTACCAATGCTGTCTCAGCCAATGAGGAGAGGGAGACCCAGGACAGCTGAAGCTCTTGTTTGCGTAGCTGGATCGAGAGGGGACTCAGGTGAGTATTAGGGGTAGCTGTGGGGGGGGGGGGGGGGGGGGGGGGGGGGGACAGTGCACAGAAGGCTATATGCGGATTGGATGCAGTTTGAATATTACACGTAAAATTACATTGCTTCCTATGATGACTGTTCACATAAGTCTTGTGCACTGGCAGTGCAAATTCAGTTCAAATTGAACAAGCAGTGCTGTCCAATTTCTGAGCAGTCAGTCTGGTTCAGGCACAGATTACAGGCTATTGTCTTCTATGGGAACAGTTTCTAAACAGCACATGTGTGAACAAGATAAAATCGTGACCTGAACCTGTCCTGAACCTGATGTAAACCTGACCTAAATGGCTGAACAACTACTGTGCAGATTAGCTGTGAATCTAAACTTCAATCCACACCGCACATGTGTGAATCAGCAATTGTGCACAGAATGCATGAAGGTATTTTTTTAAAGCACTTTAAGGCAAAAATTTCACAAAGTGATTGTATGCTAGCCAGAAAGGCAAATGCATACTATCATTTGACCCAAAGCACATGCAGGAAGAACTAACACGTTGTACCATTCCATGGTGCAGGGTTGCTTGCACAAACAAGATCAGCACTGAAAAGTCATCAGGAGGAACATCAACATCTGAGGTATGCAAGCAAAATCTATACAAACAAGATGCCTTTTGTGAAAAAGTGCAGTGCATAAGGGAGATGGGATCCTTAATGTTAATGTTGGAACATGTCATACCCATATTTAGGGTGAAGCATGTAATGTTCAACCCATATTCCGGGTGGAACATGTAACATGTTCCAGCTCCTGCCCCCTCTCCCTCTGATCCCCCCTCCCTGTGAGAGCAGATGGGACATCCTCTACCCACACCCGCTGTTATTTTTTAAAAACAGTGCAGCAATGCGGGACTGCACCCATACAGCCAGGTCATTCATTCACAGATTCCTGTAAATAAATAAATCGCAAGTACCACACACCACCACAGTGGTTTCAATGGCCTGTGGGAGGCACTGATGAGCACTTTGGTAGTCCACTAACATGTCCTCTGGCATTTAACAGAAAGCTCATAGAGGTATAGGCTGAAAGCCAAAAGGATATGTCTGCAGGACATAGCCTTAAAAACAGAAGGGTATGGTTGGCTGCAGGGAAGAGTGACAGAGTGGATGGCAGTCCGGAGAAGTGGGCGTTCCTAGGCAAGCTGCATTTACAGTACAGACGGGCTCTATCTGACTTGCGGATGCTCGTAATGCACACTATGCTCACAGTGTGCAGTGGAATCAGAGTAAAAAATTTCAGTACAGTAGAGAAGCATGTAAAACAGTGCAAGACTGAAGATATGGCTCGAGTTCAGTTTTAAATACATGTAAAATCCGATTTTTTTTTTCATGTTTGATAAGATGGGGGAGGGTTTTAACTATTGACAGTTTTCTTTCTTTTTTTTTTTTTTGCCATGTGTGTCTTTTTAGGAAGATTTCACTTCATGTACTGCCAACAGGAAATAAAAGCATATCTTCACAATGTGAGGGAAATCCCTTCCTAGAGTTGTTACAAGAACTCACGCTCTTTCATTTGTGATGACATTCGTGATAAGGACAGAGTAAATCCTCCTAATGGGACACAGACAGCAATAAAAACCTGAAAGTGGTTCTAATCCCTCCCTCACCCCCTCTAACATTGCATTTCGTTTTATACCTAAGTATACTGAATAAATCAGAAAAGATTGTGACTGACAAATATGAACATGCTTACACCACTGAATACATTTTCATTGGGACAGGAAAACAAATAGTTAGGGATGCACAGAAATTTTGGCTACTGAAACATAGCTCTATCGACATTTTGTCAATTGGAAAAGTTTAGCCGATAGAGGTGGAGATACAGGGGACTGTGTGAGGGGGGGAGCGGCGGAGAAAGGCAGGAGAGGAGCAGTGTATACAGTGACTGGCTGTCACTATGTCAGTGCCGGTTTTTAAATGCAATCACCACGTTTTTTTTTTACTTCACTATAGCTCAGAGAATCAGCTGTCACTTTCCCTGAGCTAAAAGAAACAGTTTCTTTTTAGTTTCTTTCCCGAGCTAAAAGAAACAAAAAGTTTCCTTTAGCTCCGAGGAAAGCGACAGCTCATTCTCTGAGCTATGGTGAATAAAAAAAAAAAAAAGCCGGCAGTTGCATTTAAAAACCGACACTGACATCTAGTGATAGCCAGTGAGGGAGCCTCTTTGTATACACTGCTCCTCTCCTGCCCCCTCCTTGCACACACTGCCCCCCTCCCCCCTACAAAGATGGCCTGTCACTCATATGCTATCAGATAGGGGACTATGTGATAGCAAAAAAGTAAAAAAAAAAAAAAAAAAAAAAAAAAAAAGCCTCCCCACATACGCAGACATTTCGGTTTTCGGCCACATGCATTCTGAAATTTCGGTATCAGTTTCGGCACCAGAATTTTCATTTCCGTGCACCACTACAAATAGTGGTATTAAAGGAGGAGGATGACATTTAAGCTTACTTGTTCATTGACTTTTGCATGGGAAGGTCCGTGATGAATGAGAAGTCGTACAATTTGAGCATCTCCCTTCCACGCTGCTAGATGCAGGGGAAAGCAACCTTTACAGTCTGCAATGTTTGTCACAGCCTCATTCCTCAAAAGGACTTCCACAACATCCCTGTCGGAATAAAGAAGACACAGCATTAGAAAATGTACAATATGCAAATATACATAAGCTCATATCAAGCTAGTACTTACCATTGAGATATAGACTGCACATCTCACTAACTTTGCAACAATACAACCTACTTGCTGAGTTCCTTCAAAAACTGTGTGCAAGTGTACCACCTAGAACAGGGGTAGGCAACCTTAAAAAGAGGTGTAGATCTACTTGAACAACATAGGAAAAGTCAAAGATCACCAGGCACAGTGTCAGCCAGTGTCCCTTCCTCACACCTGATTTAAACCTCTACTTGCCATACTACAGTGTCACAATCGTGTGCATTGCACGGCAATCATTGATTTAAAATCAGGTGGTGAGGAGGCAACATATCGCATCCTTACCACCTGTCAAAAACACTCGGATTGCTTTGCAGAGCAGCAGTGCCTGCACACTTGTGAATGAGCCCTTAGTTGCATCTGGAAGCAGCACCCTTAGGGCTCGTTTACATGTAAAGTTCGGGTGTGGTAAAACCCTGCAGTTGAGTCATGGTTTTACTGCCCCCAATCCCTACTACCTTTAGCTGCTGAGGCATCAGCCAAAGGTGTACACATGTTGCAGCAGGAATTACGCTCCCCGTTGCTTTTAGTGGGTGCTACCGTCTGTCAATCGAGACCCATTCAAGTAAATGGGGCCACTCTGCAAGTGCCTCGCAACCGCATGCTTCTGCGGGGTCTAAGCGGTTAAAGCTGGTGGTAAGAAAGCAACACCCCCACCTTAACCACTTTGCTGTTGGTTGCAGGGCACTTGCAGAGCAGCCTTATTCACTTGAATGGGTCATACTTGGCATGTGCTATACCCACCAAAAATTGCAGGGCGTAAGAGCAGCACTACAGAGGAGACATCAACTTATGTGGCACTACTACAGCTCTAACTTTACAAGTAGTCCCTCTGCATCGCACTCTGTTTGATGCTCTGGCATGGCGAGCCAGCAAGCCCTGACCATCATCTACCAGTCACCTGGCCGAGATCTACTGGTTGCTGACCCCCGACCTAGAAGAACAAACGCTATTTTGAAGGCAAAGGGTGGTCACACCAAATATTGATTTGGATTTCTCTTTTACTTTTTTTGGACTCATTTTGTTAATAAAAAATAAACCATTAACACTTATTTTTGAAAGTTTTCTTACATTTACAGCATTTTTTTCACACATGCCTAAAACATTTGCACAGTACTGTATTTGTTATATAAATATAAAAGTATCAGTCCAATCGGACTATGGGCTGCTTCACACTGATCTGCTGTGCTTTGGCCGCAGAGCAGTGAACTTGTGGATTTCATGCGGGTTAGCTGCACTTTCCAATAGACTTCTACTATGTCCTGTGGTTATGGTTCATTTTCTGAAAGCACACCCAAACCACAGGACATAATACAAGTCTATTAGCACAGCTAACCCGCACACATAAACTCAAGAATGCTTCACTGCACCTGTGCTGCAGGCAAAAAGCAGCAAGGCAGTGTGAAAGCCACCTCTAACTAATGTGCAACCATCTTTAAGGGGTTGATTTACACCATGCCCGCAAATGAATTGCACAGGAATGCGCTACGCCTTCTTGTGCGATTCACATGCGGTTCTGTGTGGTGCAATTTACTTTTCATTTCATTTTGAACAGGGTAAAAAATCACACCGCACCAAAAGTAGTATGCACTATTTTTTTAAAAATGCACTGACACCAGATTGCATGGGACAAGAGACACATGCAATCCGGTGTGAGTAAATGCACTGCATTTGGGGCATTGTTAAAATTTTGACACCTGCTGCAGTTTGCAAATGCAGTGCTTTTTACATCGCACAGAAACGCAAAGCATGCATTACAGTGCAGGCATGGTGTCAATTGGCACTAAGGACAAGTCAATTGATGACAATCGCTCAATTTGCTGCTTTGTTATGAGCCAACACACTGTTAGAACGAACATCTGATCATCCAGGTTGGAAAGCCTGCCCCAAACACTGTCATTTCCCTGCTTATAAGCTTACCACCCAGAAAAGCTACAAGGATAATACTTAAAGCTCCTAATCGTCTCAAAACTCTTGAGCTAAGGTTTCCTTTTAAATTCTAGCACTTCCATTATATGAGATTTGTAATTATAATGTGGAAATTTCCAGCACTTACTTGTGTCCATTAAGAGAGGCGTGATGTAAAGGGGTGTATCCTGAGCTATCAACACAATTCACATTGGGGCCCCGCCAGATACTGTAGAAATACAATTAGAAACACTTACATGATTAATTCATACATTTTGGTAACAAACCTAACTGTATTAGAATCAGAGGTGTGATCTAATACTTTTGCACTTGTCAAAGCTGCTAAATGCATGGTATTTTAATAGTATGTTAAGAAAAAAAGTTGTCACCAAGCCAATGATAGAGGAAAAAATAGTATTCTACATGTCAGTGCACAATTTTATTGTGGGATTTTGTTCTTGTGCAAAAAAAATAAATAAATAAAAAAAACAGACTTGCTATTTTTTTTTGCTTTATGAAACTGCAAACCTTTGCATGTACAGTATGTCTTGTTAGAACTGTGCATCAATATACCATATGTATTTTCTCAAATTGGTTTGAAAAAAAAAAAAAAAAAAAAAAAGCTATATTTGCAAAAATATAAATACTATAAACTGAAAGTTGACCAATTGGCAGTGTGAATGAAGCAGTGAGCATGCTTCACCTAGATATCTGCCCAGACATTTGCCAACTAAAAGGCATGTATACAGTCAAAATATACAAGTGAGAACAAGTTATTGTGGAAGCTCAAACAGGTGCAGGTTCCAAATATTCCACAAGTAAAAAGTTGAAATAAACAAAAAAATATAGTGGATTTGCAGTGGCTATTGAAGCACTGCATTAAAAGGAGAAGTATGGCCAAAGCTTGTATGCCTGTTACTTTTCTTATGGATCACAGAAGTGCAGTTTGTTCTGCACTCCTGTGACCCATTTTCAGCCGACAGCAGGCTAAAATCCGCTGTCAGCTGACGTCATTCAGCCAGTCCAGGCTGGGGAAAGATCCTGACTTTAAAGTTGGGATCCACCCAGATGTCTGGACCGGCACCTGGCTCAGCTTCTCAGCGGCCCACTGAGAGCATGAGCCAGCAGCTCCCTCTCCTTCACAGTCCAGCGCTCCAGGGAGTGCTGGTGGGGGCAGAGCAGAGAGCGGTGACTGATAGTCATCGTTCTCTGCTCAGAGCGCCAGGGAGAACTGAACGATCAGCATTTTCTGATCACTCAGATCTCACCCTTAAAGATGGAGAGGGACAGATTCAGCATCGGAATGATGCTGTATTACCTAGACAAGCAATTTAAAAAAAAAAAAACACAAAAAAAAAAACAAAGACACATATTCCCATACTTCTTTTAATGAAAGCATGATGATGACGACGAAACATTGGCATTATCACGGTTGGCCTGAGAAATCTCTCTACTACAGGTTGATGTAAATCATAAAAATCTCAAAGAACCTGTTCAGATGTGCATGTTTTAGGTGTGGTACACGAACATGCATGGCACGAACCACACCAAAGATACTGCAAGCAGGACTTTTCCTATCACACTGTACCAGAACAGCAGCCATGCAGATATATGTACAGCACACATGACTGTACTTGCAATCAATGTGAAGTTCCCTTGAGCTGCTGGTTTTAAGCTTTGTCTTGGAAGCTTTGTCTTCTGATCACAAGTCCCCTTCCACTCCCAGCCATATTCTTATGGCACTACAAGGGTTAATACAAGTGTGCTGACTAAAGCTTCCATGAATGAATAATGATCTATGAATGGAGGATGCAGATCTTTCATTCATCTGCCTGGGCTCCATTCACAGGGCACTGATCATTGCTGGAAGCCATAGTACAGCTTCTATTAATGTTCTGCAGCCATGAATGCCCAGCTTGGGAATTTTACAGCCTGTGTTCAAACTACTGCCAATCAGTCTACTTGGACAGTTAATCAAGTTACTGACCACTGTCAATAAGACATCTGAGTGTGAGAAGCCATAGGCCGTGTGTGGACTGATCTTGCTCGGTTCTGTCTGCTGTCAATGGAACTTTAAAGAGGACTTCTTGCTCCTTTCATCTTCATTTACCTCAAGGATACTGTGGGAGTGTTCCTTTACCTCTGGATTACAAATACCCTACCGCTGGTTTGTTTTATATTAACTCCAATTGCCAGTGGCTCTGTAGGGCCTAAGCATTACATACAGGTCACACCACTATTTGCATTCTTTTACAATACAGTGATATTTACTTCTGTTATTGCTGTTATTAAGTCAATAGAGTACCGTAATTCCCTTATCATTTGCTTAGTGAATTCATGCAGGGTCATTCACAGGCCACAATCTGGAACAGACATGATCTCTTTTTACCCAACTTTGTCTATATATTTTGGTGGTTGACATGTGTAAATGACTCAAAAATGAAGAAACAAAATCTTTGAGAAGTCAAAATAAACTGCTATCTGCATAATATTTGGCAAAAAAGAATTCACAAAAGATAAAAACAAATAGAGTCAGTTAAAGTACAGGGTAGTGAGGCAGGGCTATCCTACTTTTCCAACTCCACAGTGCACATCCAGTGTCCTTAAAGTGGACATTTGCCCTTTTTCACTAATAATCACAGCAGCATACAGCTCTTCAAACCCACCAGTTTAACCGTTTCCCAAATAAGTTACATTCAAGGCATGCAATGATAACCGCCACATTTACTTGTGCTCTCAATCCAACTGTCAAACCATCAAATAGCTGGTGTTCACATGTGCAGCACCATGGCAATTGCATTGCAAACAGATATGTTTATTCACCTGCTCAAGGTAGAGAGACTCCCAATCTCCAAACTCAACTTTTTCTGTAGGTGCTAGCCCAGTTCGTGTGCTGCATAGATGAGAGCAAAGAAAGTGCGATCAGCTGCACTCCAAACAATCAACTTTATTAAACCAAAATAAAAAACAATACAGACAGTGGAAATACTGTAGGGGACTGGCAGGTAAACGCGTTTCACGCTAAAGACAACGTTTATTCATTAACCCTGTAGCCCCTTGTGTTAATAAATAAGTGCCGTCTTTAGCGTAAAACTCGTTTACCTGCCAGTCCCCTACAGTATTTCTACTGTCTGTATTGGTTTTATCTTGGTTCAATAAAGTGGATTGTTTGGAGTGCAGCTGATCGGACGTCCTTTATTCTCATGCACTGCAAACAGAGGCTAAGTTGGCAGCTTCCTTGGCTGTAAAGGAGGGTTTAGTTCCACGTTAAAATTTTTTGCTTTAACCTCACAATTACTGTTTTTTCACTTCCTGCTTTCATTAAGCCACTAGCAAAATCATCCTGGCCCTACAGCTAAATTTTGGGATGTTATGCCAATTTTTCCAAGAGACAGATCAAGAGCTCTTGACAGAGTTCTAGAAAGTAAAAGGAGATGGGCTAATCCGCCCTTAGCAAAAATGGCCACCGTGCATCCGCCCTTATCCGCCCTTAGCAAAAATGGCCACCGTACATCCGCCTTTAGCAAAAATGGCCACCGTACATCCGCCCTTAGCAAAAATGGCCACCGTACATCCGCCCTTAGCAAAAATGGCCACCGTACATCCGCCCTTAGCAAAAATGGACACCGTGCGAACAATGGGAAGACAAGAAAAATATGGTATGCAAAGAATAAAAACCTTGCAATTATTTATAAGTATCTGTTGCTCTGTTTTGTAAAAGTTATCCTAGCGGCTATTTGATTGCTTTTACAAGTGGCGGGCTGCTCCCCTCCCCCACCCCCAGCCTTCCACTGCAGTTCTATCGGGTGACTATAGAGCTGATCGGGGACTGGAACAGCCCCAATCATCTTTACGGTCTAAGAAACTGACAGTGACAACTATTTTGCAGTTGTAAACAAACCATTACTAGTTGGAAGAAGTATTAGATCATACCGATCTTGGCACTTTTAAGGGCAAGGGAGAGATCTGGGGTATAACAGACCCCAGATCTCTCATTATAGAGTGTTCACATGATCACAATGACAACAAAACTTATGAATTGATCTCATTCATAACAGCTTTGCTTCTGTTCCTAGAGAGCTGTGATTGGCCCATAGCTCTCATATGGTACATGAAGCCAATCACAGCACCCTGTACCACGTGACTAGCTGGAGCCACTCACAGAACACTGTATTTTGAACTGTCATGAATTTAGTTCAAACCCATTGTAACAATGTACAATGTTACTAACTGTACTACTCTGATGAAAGTATTTTTTTAAAAATAAATAGAAATAATGTTTAAAAAAAATAAAAAATATTGAGAGAAATGTGTTTTTAATTTTTTTAACTACTTGCAGCCTGCCCACAATTCACAGGCGTCTCTGGGCAAAGCAACGTACCCTTATGTCGCTTTCTATTTTTGGGTGTGTGTGTGCACCCCCCCCCCCACTGCTCCCTATGCTGGTCCAGGGAAAGAAGAGAGAACACAGCACTACATTTTACACACATTAGATTAGCACATTTCAAAAATCGCTGCGCAAATACTGTGTGACATAAAAAATTCTAACTCTCAATTCTAACTATAAAAAGACATCTGGCCCTGAGAGTATTTAAGCAAGCTACAGCTGACATCTTTGTCCATGAGACGCATCTGGATAAATCTGGTACTATGACATTTGCTCCTAGACATTTCTCTAATAAAATTTGGGGTAGTGATTCTCTTTAAGCGGGGCTCCCCCTTCCAACTACATAAAATTTATGCTGACGCTTTAGGACTATACATTATCCTCTTAGGTGATTGGAAAGGCACATCCCTCACTCTGTGTAATCTGTAATAACCTAATGCCAATCAATTGGCCTTTTTATCAACGGTTGCTAACCATCTTTTTAGCTTCACTCACACCTACCTGGTGATTGGCGGGGATTTCAATGTGCCTTAATCTTCCTGTATGGACAAGATCATCCTCACCGGTAAAACCGCTCACCCCTCTTTTGAGAGACAATCGTTCCTCTTCCGCCAACTCACCCAACTTCCACCTTTTATTCCCACCCACATAAAACCTCACTCTCGCATAGACTATTTCTTTGTGAACGCTCCCACTCTAAAAATCTGCACCCTCTCCGACATATTCCCTATTACCTGGTCGGACCATGCACCGATAACACTCTGGCTCCAACTTCACTCTCCCCCTTCAAATCTTGCCAGTGGCACCTTAACAAGTTTCTACTTAAAGCGGAGTTCCACTCA